GTTTTTAGAAAAGGATTATCCTCCCCGAAAACAAAATATATGTTAATAAGCGTATACTGGTCATATTCAAATGCATACAATAATGGAATCGGGTTATTGGAAGTTATACCTATTTCAGAACGCGAGTTTGTTTCACGAATGTGTAATCTGATCTGATTTAATAGAATGTTTTTAGATCGAAACACAAACCTAAAGGTGTTCCCTCTCTTATTGTGTATTTTAAAATGTTGTAAAACTGTATAGACCCAAATACAAATAGGACATATTGACACGCGAAAGGGTGTGAGGGTAAGGAATGTTAACGAGAATTGTAAAATGTTCAATACAAATCGAATCATAAATCCGCATCTTGAACCACCTTAGATTATGGCCATGCTAGATCCGATGCATTTTTGGATTTTACATACAATTCCCGGCATGTTTATACTTCAAAGACTTGATGTTGAAGATGTGGGTAATTAGATCGTAATCCGTTTGGTCATGTCTAGAATCACAATGGATGGATACAACTATAAATCTTTATTTTGTTCAGGGAATAAACATGTTTAAAGCTGAACGTGTCAACATGTGTTAAAACTTATATCTTGACTTGCACATATTTTTGGTTAGTCTGAGACTAAGAACCTGGTTCCTGGCATATTTAGTTGGGTATGCAGTACAAATACAAATTGGGTCGTACATTTATCTTTTCTTTTCAGACTCGGCGTCTCCGCTCAATGTTTTGCTTGTACGTCACATAAGCAAAAAAACCCACTGAATGTCAGACTCAAAGGTGATCCTAACATGTCATGAATATTTATTTCAGATATGTTTTTGACACACGTCCATTCATGTTTACTCTAAGGAAACGGCCAGGTTGCCGACTTCTAGGTCACGTCCCATAATTGAATATAGCTCATTCTCACAGGAAATGTCTTTTTCAAGGATACGTCTCTTGAAAGTGATGCCAGCAACCAAACCGTGTTGGTATTTTATGTGTGTTAAAGGAGAATACTAGAAAATTGCAATAGCTGACTACGTGAAAGATAATGTCATCAGAATTTTTTATGCAAAAGTATTTTTATTTATATTTTAATTGCGAAAACAATTTGTGTTATCTCAGCTTCCGCCATTATGTATATTCCGCTGGAACTCACGTGACCGTTTCGCTCGTGACGTCATATGTGACTAAAGTCGGCCATTTTGACTCCGAGGTCCATCCATGGTATGACCCTGAACATGTCCAGGGCGTCATGGAAAATGATGCTTTCACACTTCTATGGAATAGGCCCATATACAGCCTCAGAAGAATTCCAGCTAACAAACCTGATCTTGTCCTTTTTGATAAAGCCAATAAATTTATTTATATCATTGAATTTTCTGTCCCTTTTGACAGCAATGTGATTGGCAAGATTCAGGAAAAGCATGATAAAAATACGGACCTCGCCTTTGAAATGTCTCGCTTGCATCCCAAGTACACTGTCGCCAGGCTTCCCATTGTTCTTGGTGCCCTTGGTTTGGTACCCCCTGATCTCTTGGCGCAGATCAAGAGAGTTCCCGGGTTCTCCACCGGGAGAACAGCTCTTCTGACAATCTGGGTAATGCAGAATGCTGCAGTGTTGGGCAGCCTTCATATTCTCCGGAAAGTTCTTGTTGGGTTCGACTAGGCAGCGTTTCATGGGAGAAGCCCCATTCGCTGTCTGGACTGCAGAGATGGGGAGCCAGTGTAGAGACTGTAATACTGGGGTGATATGGTCATGACGATGAGTGTGGGTGATACATCTGGCAGCAGAATTTTGGATTCTTTGTAGTTTCTGGAGTGATTTAGTGGAGAGGTTGGCATATAGTGAATTACAGTAGTCGGAGTTTAGAAGTGAGAAGGCAGTGCATCAGAAGTTTACAGGTGTCAGTATTGAGGCAGTGGCGGACTTTGCTGACCTTGTGGATGTTGTAGTAGCAGGCTCTACTGATGGAGGTGATGTGTGCATCCATGGACATGTTGGAATCAAGGATAACACCAAGATTCCTGGCACTCTCTGATGGTGGGACGTTTGTGTCGCCAATGGAAAGTGATGGAGAAGGAGTCTTCAACTTTATGAGCTGGTGTTTGGAGCCAATGAGTAGGAATTCTGTCCTCTCCTCATTCAACATCAAATAGTTGGAGTTCAGCCACGATTTGTTTTCCTGAATGCAGAGCTCAAGTTTGTTGATATTGAGTGAAACATCATCTGAAAGGCAATGTAGAGTTGCGTATTGTACATCTCCGATTTTGACAGATTTGTGCGACCTCGCAAATATAAGGGAATCCACTTGAGCTCAGTTCCTGTTCTCACAATGCGAATTTAAGTCGATGCAGGAGTAAGCTCTATGATCTGTGGTATCGAATGCATTGGATAGGTCATGAGCACGAGCGCTGTCACCTTCTTCTGGCCCATTTTGACAAGAATGTCGTTGTGGATTCTCACCAAAGCTGTCTCCGTACAGTGAGATGTCTTGTTGGCTGACTGGAACGATTCTGCGAGGTGGTTTGTCTCAAGAAGCGCCTTCATTTTGCCAGCTACCACTTTCTCTAAACATTTAGATACGAATGAAAGGTTGGAAATTGGACGGAAATTTTTCAAATTGTTTTCACCTGCTCCATGTTTCTTTAGAACTGGAGTGACAATTGCATGTTTAAAAACACTTGGAACAGTACCAGTGGAGAGTGACGAGTTCATAATGCCCCAGACTGCAGGTGCTAAATAGTGTAGCACGGACTTGAACAGCCAGGTAGGAATGGGATCCAGTGGTGAAAATTTATATGGTGCATTCTTCTTGATATCCAGTACAAGGTTGACAGAAACATGTCCGAACCTTTCAAGCACATTACCAGAGAACTTCTTCTCATCAGGCGTAGAACTAGTTTGACTGTATCCTGTAAGATTGGTTTATATTGCCCAAAACCAAGCGCTACAGTAATACAAATCGTATTGTTTCTGTCAGTTTCTAGTATTTTAAAATATGACAATTACCATGATGATGTAATGATGTTTTTTTTATGTTTTGTGTTTAAGTCAGTGATATAGCATTTATACCACGGTTATCTGTAATATCCGGATCTGTACCAGGACACCAGTGCCTGAAAGTATGCACAACGACCACTGAAATTGGTCATGATAAGGCCATACATTTATATATTCTTGTTTCTCATTAACGCCCGACCCCAACATTCAACCCGACCCTAAGATTTTATTTTACTTTTTACACTACAGAAAATGCAACTTTAACTCTCAAGTGCATGAATCTACACTTCTAAGTTTTGATTTTCTGTCGGAGAAAAGGTGTAAATTTCCGCAGAAATCAAGGGGTTTTGGACATAAAATGAAATACGCCGCTAGACCCTTCTCTTTTTTAAAAAGTGACGAGAAACAAGAACATTTTTTCATGTGGCCTAACATCGTCCACCGCGACACAAAGGCGGAATACAACAAATGCGATGCTGATCCGTTTTCCTGGACCTGCTGAGATTAAACTAATCCGTCTATATGATATTTTCGGAGATCAACATTCGTATCCCTGTATCACATCCAGTTTTGTTTTAATTGTTTGATAGCATGAACATTGATCCAATCCGTCGGGGTAGGATGATACATCATATATGATTTTACTGGACGCATGTGCCAAACATGTACCCGTGCATACACAGAGTGATCTAACGATGATCGTAACTCTAACATGATGTAAGATAGTCGTAGAGCAAAGGGAGGTGACGTGAAATTGGTTTTACGTCGTGCTTGAGAATATTTCGCTCATGACGACGTGCATGCGTGTGTATGTGTATGTGCGGCTGCTTGTACTAGCCTAGACTGAAGCTGGTTTTATAGTGCTAGCCCACTGAGATACCATGCCGCAGTGAAGCATGAATACCCCACTCAGACACATTATACTGACTCCAAGCCGACCAGTCCTTGTTGTACCCATTAATGCCGAGCGCCAGGCAGGGACCAACCAGTACCGTATTTTAACGTCATTTGGTATGACGCGGTCGGGGATCGAACCCGCGACCTTCCGCTCTCCGGGCGGACGCTCTTACCACTACACCACGGAGGCGGTCTCGTAGAGCAAAGACCGCTTAAATCAGTGTTTGCGGTAGGAAAAAAAGCTTTTCGTTCCTAAAACGCATAGTCCCTGGAATCTTGCGTGTTACCTGTCGTGTTTCACGATCCATGTTACATTCAGTATCGTGAGAATTAAGGACGTAAATTAGAAATGTAATTACTAAGAACACAAAATGCTTTTCGTGCTGAACACGAAGGTAGAAAATATCGTGCGTGACATGTAGATTTATTTGCGCGAAACTCGAAGGGTTTTTGCGTTAACGCGAACACTGCGGCTTTGTGAATCATGTTTGGCACATCCGTCTACTACAAATATGTATTTTGTTTCATCCTCCCTCGAGGGGCCCATGAACATATTTTGTCCTGTAATCCACGTGAGGTGAGGTGCGGAACTGATACACCATCAGGAGGCTGGGCGAAACCTACAAGTTGGACGCCATTATCCTTCATCAATATACAAACATTCATAGCATTACCCACTATAGTCTGTTTGCAGCGAAAACGTACCGATGGATTTCACTTCACACAATAAAGTAAATCAAATAAAGTGAAATTAAGATTGCGAATCCTCATAATTTTACCTTGCCAAATGAACATTTAAATCTCAGAATGTTATTCAACTTAGGATAAAAGTTGTTTAACAAACGGTCATAGTTTCACATGGCTATTATTGGTTTGTATAGGTTGGTCTAAGTTAACGCTCATCACGTCCCGCACGTGCATTTGTTTCACTGTTCCAACCACTGCGCTTACCCCCTTGTAATACAAACCAATAATAGCGATTTGAATCTATGATCGTTTGTTAAATAACTTTTACCATAAGTTGAATAAAATTCTGAGATTTTTAGTTTTAATTGGCAAGGTAAAACAGACTATAATAGTATAAATATGTACACCGAGTGTTCATCATTTAAGAACAATATGTCACAAAAGAATCTTTATTAAACAATCACTCTTTTCAAACAAAAATAAATAGTATACAATGGGGCACGTCAATTAGTTCATCGGTTTCAGGAGAGACTTTCCATAGCGGTCGACACATAACGTATTGCCGATGTCGAGGTTGTACTGACACACGTCGTAGCCCAGGTTGTGGTGGTAGGCGCAGATATGTGCCATGGGGCACACGGTGCTAGTGTTGCACTTCTGGTAAGGCATACAGATCCCGTCTACACAACTTCCATCCGGGCAACCGAAGTTGCAATGCGTCTTTGGATAGCAGATCTTGTGGTATGCGCAGTACTCGTGAATACAACAGCCCTCCGAACAATATCGATACTGAAACAGAAAATAGAGATAGTTTTAATATTGTGGCAACAAGTGTCAAATTCATTTCGTTGATAATACGAGTGAGTATTGTTTTACGCCGCTTTTAGCAATATTCCAGCAATATCACGACGGGGAACACCAGAAATGCGCTTCACACATTATTCCCATGTGGGGAATCGAACCCGCGTCTTCGACGTGACGAACGAACGCTTTAACTACTAGGCTACCCCACCGACTCGTTAATAATATGACTAACTCGCTATGATGATGATATTGGGGCTGGCGAAATTGTTATCCTCATTTTAAAACCTCAATTCTAACAAACCAGATACAAATTCATTATAGAATTACAGAATGTCCAAGAGGAGCTTATATGTTTTAAGAGCTATATGTATTAGCATTAAAAATTGTTCACGAAAAGTAGTGAATATACAAAATTGTTTCATGTTGTAGTTACCTCCCTTTCACGAATTAACCGGATGTACGTAAAAGTATTTTTGAACACACCTGATGTATAAAACGGAATATGATCGTGAGTGGCATTGCGCCGGTTTGAACTGAATTATAAAGAACCTTGGGGTAACGTCGTCCCAGAACGATGAAATCACTGAATAAAGCATGTTTAAGTTGGCGAGTAAATGAGTGTGATTTTGCAAGAATTCAGCTATATTACGATAGCCTGGGTAGCTATTAGGTAAGCAAATTGTGTAGATCATCCGTCAACAGGTTGCTGGATGAGCACATGGCAGGATCTCAACAAGTTAATGTGTTCAGACAATTTTGTTCATTCGTCAACAGGTTGATAGATGAGCACACAAGAAGATGGTCCGTCAACGTGTGGAGATGGTGTGCAGCACTACCCCGACCAGGTGGATCGAGGTTATTTTGGTCGGTCATCTGCACTATAACGATACCAGCCTCCTTTCTAATGGAGTTCATTGGCGGATCCAGGAATTTTGAAAGGGGGGGTTCAGGGGGTTCGAACCCGCTAAACCCCCCATTGGCATCCTCCCTCTGGATCCGCTAATGGGGAACTGGTATGTGTGCAACAACACACACACACACACACACACACGCCAATAGCAGGATGGAGATACAAATCTGGAGTGCAAATTAAGAAATGATTTTTAAAGTTCCATCTTCAGGTGAGTAGGGAAGCTCTGCACACAAAAGTTGGGCCTTATTTGTGAGGGAACTAAACGAATCCAATCCAAACTGGGCTCTTCATGATACAGTTATGAACTGCATTGCTTCCTTAATACCAAAACTGAAAGACGAGACTGCGAAACTTCCTCCACATTTGGTTTATGTTCAATATTATAGGTGTTAATATATTAATATTATTGATCATAAACCGTCCACGGAAATCTAATGTTACATCCAGGTAACCTAAGTCCCTGCATCACATAACTATAGACCAATATGTCCGAGGCATTTAAACCAGCACACTGATACCACTGCCAGATATAGCTCACTATGGCTATAATACTGGTGCGCCCTCGTTAATAGAACTTGTCCTCGTATATCGAAGCGCATCCTAATTTGCTAAATTATACTCAGCCACATCATAATCTTCCACGAGGATTAGTTCTCAATGAAATCAAACTATACTACCCATCAAAAGTTTAGACTCACTAGTGTAAATGTAGCCACTTAACTGTTCTAAACTGTGTTTAAAGGTACTGTTTAGTTATGAACTGGTGTATTGACACATTGAAAAGATTATTGCATGAGTTCGATTAAAATCTGTGAAAATTGACTAATTCTTAACAAAACTTTACACCAAAACGAATCTGTTCACATGCACGACATTTGCTCATGCCTTTCGCAATTTGAAGCATCATCCTTGTGCAATTATCTGCCAATCAGTTGGTTCCCCAAGTTGGTGGAGAAAATCTTCGATGTAATATTCCATGAAGATTAGTTCTTAATGAAATCAAACTACAGACACTGGCCACGAATAATACCTCTTTTCAGATATGGTGATACTGACACACGAAGAATACCTCTTGAAGATTAGTTCTTTGAAATCTTCCACAGAACCTTAAATATGGTATACTGACCACGAATGCCACCCAGGTTATTATGCCATGTTTCCCACTGGAAGAGAGGTAGCATGATAACAGGATGGACTGTATTCATAACACCACCACAGGCCCATGGCGTCATGGCGGCTGCTGCCTTGTGTCAAGCACTGATTCCAAAGTGTCCATGTTTAATTTCGCTAATCAGCAATAACAGATGCCACACTTATAGTTCCTGTTACATGGTTATCAATATCCGATACTGTATTAATTTCCAAATGAATACGAACTATAACCTATATACCTACTAGAACCTTCATTTGTAATATATCACTCGAGCCATTCATCAAAAGTGTTTCATCATTTCGAGCGGAAGACCTAACGGATTTCCCCTTTATACTTTCTTTCAAAACCGATTTTCAAATGTCATTAAAGATGATACTACTGTCTTTATTGGATTGCAGCTGGATAAAGATATCTAGTTTCTCAAACCAAATCTCATTCTGAGTATTTGAAGTTATTTATATTTATATGAAAGAATAATTGTAGCGTAAAAACGTATACATATAAACTTGCAATATCAACTGTCGTGACGGTACCGGAGGAAACCAGTACAATGACGCTGGCAGAAACAACGCTCTCCGGTACTGATAAAACGACTCCAGTTTAAAACTGTCATGTTGCCATCTCGGTATCGGATTAATATTCTTCCGCTATAACTACACGTTGGGTATTTATTAGCTGACCTTCTGTTTTAAAATATAAATGGTATTAACTGTGGCCAAAAATGTTTGATCGTGGCTAAAAGTCAAAGGAACAAGAAATAGATATTGGATGGCGATGAATTTGGTGCACGTATACTATCTGTGTCCTGGACTTGAAGTTTTACTGTTTCGGTGACTTTCTCCAGCCTACTATCGTTTTGATGACGTTTGAGATATTTTTTGTCAAATGCTATTTTCGATGTTTTCTTTGCTGGGTAGTTTAGTTCTGTCACTAGGGAATTGTATCGATGTGACAGAATGACGTCATCAATATTCCACGACACTTTAGTGGCAACACTTAAACCACTGGAACAGGGGAATGCCTGGCCAGTAATCTCAAACACTGTACATGTCCAGCTCCGGACATATGGGGATTACGAGCTTACAGCTCAGACACAAGTGACATGACCGGATCTCACGATTTCAGCCACACAGTGACACATTAAAATGAACATTTCTTTCTACTAGTTGAAAGTTGGATTGTTGATAAACTGCTGTACAGTGTGATCAGTAAGAGTGTAGGCACAATAACAGTGTTTCTGTGATATATACACATAGAATAAAGTATCGCAACACCTGTGATCTTTGACCCCCAAATGGCCATTTATATTCATATCATAATTTTGTTTGTTTGTATGATGAATTTGACCCCTCGGGCGCACCATACAATGCTTTTAGAGATGCACGTGCTTCGATCCAAAGCGAGCGATACATGTGCCCGCCCTGAAGCCAATTATATGAAGTGTCAGTAAACTGTGCTTACAGCTCGGTAACTTGGCACATCAACGGATGTTGTTGATAAGCAAATATGGGGTCGCTTCAAATGGCAACTGCAAAAATGGCAGGATACTGGTATATGCAATACTGGCATGTCATTTCGGGGTATTATAAGATATATTCGTTGTCATCCATCAACTATAAGCCGACTGGCCAAAAAACATGAGGGTGTAGGTCGACCACAAGTGACAATTCCTAGGGAGGATACAGCCTGTCACCGAATCACAAGAATTCATCCGTTCAGGTCTTGAGTGGCTTGTTGAAATCAGAGTGCCCTCCACATCGTTTGTCCTCAAAAAATGGTCTTACCGGGTATAGACCCAAAGTGTTTTTGCAACAAGGATGATAGAGGTGTGTATTTGATAATAAGCCCAAAGAAATATGCAAAGGGTACGTTTTTGCCCTTTTTGATGATTAAAATATGAATTGGAAATTTACCAACATCACTGAGGAGCATTTGTTTTGTTTTGTTTTTTAACAAAGTAATTTGTAATGTAATTAATTACATTGGTAATGTAATTGTAATTTAATTAAACATTTTAATTTAAGGTGTAATTGTATTTGTAATTGTTTGAGGACTTGTAATTTAATTAATTACATTTCGCTTGCATAGACCCGGGTCAGGGGTGGTGAGCAATTTCGTAATATCTCAAGTCAAGAGACGGTATCAACTTTACCTTGGTCCGCCAGGAATCTCGATCACAATACCATATAGCATATGTGGAACAGCATGGGTCTCAGAAACGCCAGAGAGATCCTCCAGTACAAAATCTTTTTGTATTGTATTGGATCAAGCCCTCCATCGGGAAAGGAACGCAACCTCAGCGTCAAATTCAAACATCTGATACAGTCAATGAGTCGGAGGGTCAGGGATGTTATTGCAGTTGGCGGAGGTTACCCAAGATATTGACATTGTACTCGGTTATTGATACAATGTGATGTCCTAAGGATTGTATTACCGAATTTTGAAAATGACCGCACTTTAAGTCATACGACCACAGTTATCAGCACTACAAAATGTTTCATTTTGTGTCATGTTTGCCTCAATTACTAAACTACGTATTTTCTGTCCTTTTGCGTTTAGATTTGCCATATGATAAGTCTTAAGTAAGTTAAATTGAGGTTTGGATTTGCTGTGGCTAATTGTAACATACAGATATTATGAAAAATATAGGGCGTTGCAAATATTGTTTTCTATGTGTATATTTCAGAAGGAGGGGAAACCGATGGAACAATATTGGTGCTTTGTAAAAATACCTTTTGAATTTTTTTCATCAGTGATAGCACGGCACAAAATCATAGCAAATTGAAAGATTAATATTATAATCGATATGGGCCTATATCATCTGTGGACGGAATCAAAGAAGCACATTTATTATCAACCTCAGGACGAGGAATAACGTGTTTTGGATAAACCGCGTTGATCGAACAGAATCACTGTGAC